CGCCAGAAGATTTTTGTGAGCAGTTTTCCATCCATGTTCTACCCCTTCCTCTAAGGCTATGAATTCCCACTTGCCCAGGCTGCATTTTAGTGACAGAGACCTGAATCATACCTTCCACTGCATGACCCCATTGAAGAAATAGATAAACTTATTCTTCTCCTCCAACTCCATGTCACAGGCTTGGCAGTCCAGTGTCTAGGTCAAAATGTGTGAGTATGTGGGGTGGTAGACTCAGCTACTAATTATACACTGTCCTTGACTCACCATTGACCCTGAACTCAACTCTTCTCCCTGCACCATTTGTAACGCTCCCAAGGAATACAGCCTCCTTATCCACTGATGAAGAATGTGATAAATGTTTTCCTTTCACTCTTGTGTTGCTACAAGTTTGACAGAGTTTGATGCACTACTGGCCATATTGCAAGCCTTGCCCTTCACTCCTGACCCATTGCCTTGACATTCGCTGATGAATCAAATTCTAGAAAGACTGCTTGAGGCTGCTTCTGTGAAAGCTAATCAGGACAGACTTGACTTCTGCTGTTTTTAGTTTACTCTCTGGAGCTGTATTAGAACCCCAAGCTTCTTTCAAAAGTCTATTCCTAAGTTCAGTGACCTTTCCGACTCTGGGAGACCCATGGAGGTTGATCACATGCCAAGGGATGTGCCCAACCCAAAAGTAATTGGTGAATACAAATTAAACTCAATGGACTTTAAGAAAAAGAGAACGTGAAATACGGGAGTGGGTAAGGAGGTGGGGGTGGATCTGAGAGGAGATAGGGAAGGGGGAGTCTGAATATGATCAAAATACATTGTGTGAAATTCTTACTGTAATATTTTGCATGTTGTTAAAACTGTAACTTTAATTGTAAAAAAAAAATAAAAAAAAATAAAAAAATGAGATTCACTTTAATCATAATGGTGGTCATTGCTAAGGAGGGAAACAGGGCGATGAGACTGAAATGAGATATATAAAATGTACTTAAAACATTGTACTCTTCTGAAAATAGACATTATTCTGGGATGCTGAGAAGGCTCAGTGGTAAGAGCACTTGTTGCCAAGCCCGGTGATCTGAGTTTGGTCCCTGGAACTCACATGATAGAAGGTAACAACTGACTCCCTCAAGTTGTTCTGTGACCTCTACATATGGTGTGTGTACATGTGCATGTGCATGTGTGTGCACACATATGCACACACAAACTAAATAAATGAAAAGAAAAACAAAGCAAATCATTTATTATATTTCTCTTTGAAAATGTTCATCTGCTTGAACTCATCATAATGAAATAGTGATATAACTAAATTTAATATATTTAGACTAGTTCATAAAGTCAATAACAAACATCAACGACCTTAAGTATTAAACCCTAAGGCCATTATTAAAGTCAAGAATAAGGTCTTTACTTTCACTATCATCTTTAGTATTCAATTCTTGGTTTTTGTTTGGAGCATCTAAAAATATTTCTTATTATTTTTTATTATTCCATGTGTGTGAGTGTATTGCCTGCATGTATGTAAGTGCACCCATGTCCTGCAATGCCCACAGAGGTCAGAAGAGGGCACTGGATCCCCTGGAACTGTAGTTTTAGCCCCCCCCCTTTGCTTCCTGGCTGCCATGAAATGAGCAGCCTCCTCCACCACAGGCTCCAACCACTATGATATTCTGCCTTGTCACAGGCCTGAAGCAATGGAGTCAGGTGACTGCAGGCTGAAACCTCTGAAACCATAAGCTGAAATCAATCTTTCCTTTTTAAGCTGATTTTCTTGGGTACTTTGCCACAGTGACAAGAAGTTGACTAATTACATGGCTTCAGGAAAAGTTTTCTCTAGCAGGCCAAATATATACTTTAAGTATTATGGGGCATGAAGTTTCTGTTACAACCACTTAATGTTGTCATAGTAGCAGAAAATCAGTCTTTGGCCATATGTAAATAAATGGATGTGCCAGCAATCCAATAAAACATTATTTATACAAAAGGTTGCAGAGTTGAATTTGACCTGTGTGCCATAATTTGAAAACTAAATAAAGTAATTGGTTTAGCTACAAGGAAATAAAGGCATAATTATCAAGTTATCAATGATATTTTCTATATAGCTTGAAAATAAAAACTGAACATTGACTAAAAGAATTTAAAAGAATATTACTAGTTAAATTTACCATTACAAAATTCATTTACTTTTCTCTGTACTGTCAATAAATAGAAATTAGGTTTCTTTCTAAAATAAGTAACAAAAAATAAAAGGCAATGATTGATTTTAAAAGAAAAAATACAAGTCCTTACCATAGAAAACTATTATCCTTAGAAACAAAATTACAAATATAAAAATATCAAAAGTGAATTATGAGGAAAGTCACATGGATATCTCCATAGATATACAAAAATGCATTTGTTAAAATTCAATGCCTTGTCTTGTTAATGAATGGATTTTTTAAAAGATTAAAAAAAATTTATTTTCTATGTATGAGTGTTTACCTGCATGTATGTTAATTCCCGATGTGCATGCAGTGACAATAATACCAGTGCCCTCAAAGCAGAAGGAGAAGGACTGTTATCTTGAGGCCAGTTTGGGCTCTGTATAAGACCCTGACTAAGAAAGAAGTAAAAATAAGACACTTCCATGTGCATGGATTAGAACAATTTTCTGTATGTATTTACTTGAAATAAGAACGGTGGAGGCCAGCAGGATGGCTCAGTGGGCAAAGGTGCTTGCCGCCTGAGTTCAAGCCCTGAGACCACATGGTGGAAGGAGAGAATGAACTCAAGCAAGCTGTACTCTGACCTCTACACATACACCATGGCCTATATAGCCCATATATATATATATATATATATATATATATATATATATAATGCAATTTTAGATCATTTTTTAAAAAGAAAAATCAGGGGGCTAGAGAGATAACTCAGTGGTTAAGGGCACTGACTGTTCTTGCAGAGGAGCTGGGTTCAGTTCCCATCACCCATATGGTAGCTAACAACTGTCCATAGCTCCAGTTCCAGGGAATCTGATACCCTTTTCTGGCTTCTGCAGTCACTGTATGCATGTGGTACGCTTACATACATACAGGCAAAACATTCATACATACAAAAATTTTTTAAAAATGAAAAAAGCAGTACGTATTATATAATTTTACTTTAAAGATACATATATATTTATGCATAATTACATATGCAAATACATGTGAAGACGCACACAAATCAATCTGAAGTGTGAGAACAGTAAATACTTGAATGGAGGTATGAGAATTTTCACATTTTATTTTATATATTTCCATTGTTCCTTTACATTAATTTATAATATTCCAAGAGCATGTTTTTAAAATGAGTATTTTCAGATATACACAAAAATTAACAGACACTAGGCATATACTCAACTTTTTTTATTTTTTTATTTTTTATGTGTATGAGTATTTGCCTACATGTACGCCCAGAAAAGGGCATCAGACACCCTGGAATGGGAATTATGGATGGTTATTAGCTGTCATATGGGTGCTGGGAACTGAGTCCAGGTCCACTGGGAGAGCAACTGAGCCATCTCTCCAGCCCCCTAGGTCTACATGTTGATAAAATTCTGTCAATGTACATCATTTTACTGGTGTTCTGGGTATTAAATGACACCCTAATATCTGAGAAATCCTCATGGCATATATAATTAGATGTTATTTTATATATACCACCTAGAGGGTTTACCCACCAGGAAACCTGGTTCATCACTGTACCCCCCAATTTTACAGTGGCTAGAACTTAATGTTTGTTGAATGACTGTGGCATTTACACTTTTATAAACAAGTTCTTAATTTTTAAGGTTTTCATTTGTTCTTTATCAGTTAAGACTCCTGGAATCCATCCAGTAAAGTCACCTTGCAGCGCCCTCCCTGTGTGAATGAAAAGTGGCCCAAACGCGTGTTTTGTTGTTGTCATTGTCTTTTTTTACTGTTATTGGTTTTTTTTCCTATTCTTTCTTAAACTTACCAAAGGTTCCAGTTTTATGGGCTGCTGTCGCTTTCGTGTCTTCTCCTGAGCTTTTGTGGAGTGCCTAAATGTCAGAGTTTGTGTTTGAGGCTCATTTTCTTTGACTGCTACATAATTCATTATCCTTTTTGCTTTTACACTATTCAGTCTTGTGAGCACAGGACTTTCTTCATGCTCTTCAACATTCTTCAGGTCCATTTCACTCTCTTTGGCATGGAAACTCATCCTTATTCCTACAAGGATGGAGCAAAGAAAAGAAAAATAAAAGCTGAACAAAATGGTAGAGGAGGATAGACAGTATGTGGGGTGGGAGGAGGGGGTACTAGGAACCAGGGAGAGCTGAATTTACTTGCTTTCTCCAAAGAAAACCAAAGTTATCTCAGTCTTCCCAAGCAAAGCACTTGAACCACAGGAGTAAAAAATGTGCTGGGCCTTGAAGAACCCCTGGTGTGAGACCCAGGAATCCGCATTTCTAACAAGTGCTTGGGTGTTGTAGATGCTCCTGATGTGGGAGCCACACTGCCCTGATTTGGAAAGATTAAAACATTTGGAAAGATGCAAAACATCTCCTGAAGTAGTTGTTTTAAAATACAGTAAGGAGATGTTTAGTCTATAAAGTGCTTGCTACACAATCATGAGGACTTGAGTTTGGGTCCCCAGTACTCATGTGCAAAGTCAGGCCTGGAGGTGCTCCCTGTAAACCCATTGTTGGAAGATAGGGGCAGACAGGTGGATCCAGTGGCTCACTGGCCAGCCAGTCTAGCAGAGCTCCAGGTTCAGTGAGACCTCGTCTCAAAAAATAAATTGATAACTGCCGGGAGAAGAGGAGTCGGTTTTCTTTTAGGGTGTGGATCCCTGGTAGGTTGAACACACTCCAGTGAATGGACACACACCCAAGAGTATATGGGTGGCACAAATTGGACTCAATGGGTTTAAAGACAAATGAGGACACAAAGTTGAGTGGGTAGGGAAGTGGGGGTGGATCTGAGAGGAGTTGGGGGTGTTCAAAACACATTGTATGAAATTCTAAAAGAATTAATTAAAATATTTTTAGAAGTAAGATGAAGTAGTAATTGAGGACGACATTCCAGGTCAACCTCGAGCTTCCGTGTGCTCAGACACAGTTGCACACACTTGTACACACAAGTGCACAGGCATACACCAATGCATGCCTAAGGGTTCTCTCTCTCTCTCTCTCTCTCTCTCTCTCTCTCTCTCTCTCTCTCTCTCTCTCTCCCTCCCTCTTTCCCTCTCTGCAGGTAAATTTTAAGACAAGTAGGCAACTTGAGGGACACAACCTGGAAACTCAAGAAGAAACCAAAGAAGGGGAGAGAAGATATTTGAGGGCTAAATATTAAAACAGATTCACAGTCATACACTCTAGCAGCAAAGTCCCCAAACACTAGAACTACTAGCCTTTTGTAGTGGACATACACTCCTCACTACCTCAAACACTGTCACCCATCAGATAGATGGAGGTGTGCGTCAAAATGACCTTCAAAACATTATTATGTAGGAGCTGGAGATTATTCAATGGGTAAGAGCTTTTGCTGTGCAAGCATGAGGACATGAGTTGTGTCCCCAGACTCAGCCTCAAGGAAACAGGCAGAGAGTCATAGAGCAGCATACTTGACATCCTACTGGCCTCTACACACACACACACACACACACACACACACACACACTTGTGTGTGTGTATGCACAATAGTATTATATAGTACCAAAGGTTTTGAACAAGGTGTTGGCATACTTACATTTTAGTCTAGCTCAGTGCTAACAGAAATTTTTAAAAAGCCTCTTACTCTCAAGTTACCCCATTAAAATGAGTGAAATAAAATTTAATTATACACTTTATTTAACATCCAACGTGCTATTTTAATACATAATGACACTGTGTGGTGCACTATGATATTTTTTATTTTGGCACTAGGCCCTGGAAATCCAGTGTGTACTATACACTTGGAGTCTAGGGGCTGTCCTGATGAACAGGCCAGGTCTAGATTTGAACAGCCAGTTCAAGATCTCGGACAAGCTCACTTTTCCAATCCCTCCCCCCAAAGCAAAACAAAACAAAACAATAAAAACAACCGACCAAACAAACAAACAAAAAGTGCTGTAGAGACGGTGGCCCCATCGAAGTCCAGGGCTGACTGCTCACTGAACACGCCTTTTTCCAGTTATGGAAGTGGGGAGCAGCCCTTTCCTCTGCCTTGAGGTGAGCAATCACCGAAATGCCTTTCCATGGGCTTTCTCTGCATCTCTGAGCCTTCCTTTCAGGGTTGGGAAAGGAATCCTGTTTCTAGAGAAGCCTCGACCCGTGGCCTGGACCCATAGGACTCACCGAGTGGGACCACAGCAGCCACTCCTGAGGGGTCCCCAGAGGCTGAGCAACGTTTGTAGTTGGAGCAGAAAGCCGACTCTAGTGGAGGCAATGTTTCCGGTTACTTAGCAACCACCAGGTCTCCACCGACAGTCACTGAGCCGGGAGTGACCTGTCGTCATGGTAAAGCCTTAACCCTCTACAGTCCTTGCCTGGGTGCATGCCTAGTAATCGAACCAATCGGTGTTTCCGGCGTGTTTGATGTCATTGGTTACTAGGGAGCCCCATCCACAGGTCTGATTCCTCCTCTGGATTGGAAATCTGCCCAGCCAGCAAAGGAGGCCATTCTGTGTGTTCTTCGATTGCCCTGATCTCATGCAGGAATCTCTTTTCTGTTTTCCTGTAGGAGGCTTGAGTTTGATTTGAGGACCGCTTTCATCTTAAGGTCTCTAGTTGAAAGAATGGAGATTTTCAGGAGAGGGGCGTGTGTTGCGTAGACAGATGGAGTCCTACTTTGGAAAGGTGACCATCTGTATTCCGGCCCCACTAGCTGTCATCGTCCCCAGAAAGTTGGGCTCTGCTTCCCTCACACTCCTCTGCGTCCTTTCCGTAAGCGAGGTTTGCCAGCATAGCAGGGGCCTTGGGTCTCGTGGTCTGCACGCCTGCTTCCGTTTTAAACCCAGATCTTCTATGAGTTAATCTTGCTTAGTTAGGTTCTTAGTCAGGGTTTCCAGTGCTGTAGAGAGGATGGCCCCATCGAAGTCCAGTGCTGACTGCTCACTGAACATGCCTTTTTCCAGTTATGGAAGTGGGGAGCAGCCCTTTCACCTGCCTTGAGGTGCTGGTACACCGGTTGGCAGTGCCAGTTTTCAACCTTCCCTATAAAGTGTCATACTCACCATTGGAGCGACTTTCTTTTACTTTATCCTGATGTTGTTTCATGTCTTGCTTGGCCACTCCTTGAAACAAGGCGAGAACAGTGCTACACGTTGAGCTCGCAACCTGCACTCTCTCTGCACAGTTTCTGGCATGCATTTAGCATTCTGGTTTGACACCACCCACAAGAGAATTATATTGGTAAATAAAGATCTAGAGTGTAGATTTCAGAGCACTTAATCCAACCCCTCCTCTCCACCATCTGAGTACTGAGCCTTTATCTGTGCTACATGAAAGTTTCAGGGAACATTAATTTTCACTGAACATTTTTAATGAAATCTGAAATAAAACCCAAATGAGAACCACTCAGTTTGAAAAGGAAAAAGAAAAGGGAGAGAAAGGTGAGGAGGAAGAAGAGACGGAGAGATGAGTCAGCAGTTAAGAGCACTGGCTGATCTTGCAGAAGACCCAGGTTTGGGTACCAGCATCTACTTGGCAGCTAACAACCATTCATAACTACAGTTTCAGGGGATCTTATGCCCTCTTCTGGCCCCCATGGACATTGCACAACACAGGTGTACTTACATACCTGCAGGCAATACATTCATACATATAAAATAAAAATAATAAATAAAATATTTTTAAAACATAAAACAAAATAAATAAAATTTAAAATAAACTTGGAAATGTATTAGAGACTATAAAGTGACTAACATGTTTTAAGAAGAAGCAAAGAACTTATACCGCTGCAAATATAATAACTAAGTTTGACTCATTGGCTACAACATGGATGATGCTAGACCGTCTTACACAAAGTGAAAGAAGTCAGACACAAAAGGCCATGTAATGCATGATTACATGTATGTAAAACGTCCAGAACTGGAAAATTTATAAGCTGAGAAATCAGGTTAGTAGCTGTCAAGTTCTGGAGAGAGGATAGCCTAGGATAAAACTGTGTCTTGGGTGTGGAGTTTCCATTTGTGTGATGAAAATAGTCTAGAACTAGGTAGTGGCGATGGTTGCACAGGGTGTGAATGTGAATGTGCTGTAAATTATTCTACTGGTAAGTTTAATGTTATGTTTATCACACAAACGAGGGTAGCTTAAATAACATACTAAACACAGCTCATGGAAACATAAGTGAACTGGAAAACAGGTAAGAGAAAATTATAAGAAATGGAATATAAAAAAACTAATGGTGGAAAAATGCTGAAGAGAAGACAAGATTGATACAAGATTCTGGAAAGATCTAAATTCAATGAAAGTTTGTCCAAGAATGAAAGACAGAATAAGGTTGGGTTAGTATTTAGAGAGATAATTACAGATAAGACATTGAGAATTTTCCACAACAGAAATTAGATTAGACTAGACCTTGAGGGTGCATAAAATCTGCCTGAGATGATACTGTAGAAAAGTTATATGATTGAGCTCATAACAGCACAATGAGATGTAGTCAGCATGGGCCTCCTCCTGCTTGCTGGACAGCCGAGTCGGTGAATGCTATTCAACAACTAAAGATGAAGCACCATGACTTTTGGCATGTCAGTAGATTTGTACCACAGCTCTCTGTTGTGATATGAAAACCTCGGAAGTAAAGTTATCTCTGTGCTTCTCTTTGGTAACATCAGGAACAATAAAAGATTATTTCATTTGACAGCTAAAGGAGTCTGAAAGGAAAAACTCAAATGCCAGAATGAGGGATTATGGCTACCAAAGAAGGGGAAAGTGCACTGCATTTCTGAGGTCGGGGTTGTTTTTCATTTGTTTTTGCTTTGTTTTGTTTTTAATAGCATAGAAGTAGCAGGGCAGGTGCTAAGATGAGACCCTGGTCTGTGCAGTATGTTATTACTGCTTTGAGATCTACTAAATCTCTTTAGAACAAGATATCTTTAGCTTGAATCTGTTTTAATTACATTCTGTTGTAATAAAATACTCTGGCCAGAAGCAACTTTGGGAAAAAAAAGAGTCTTTTTGGCATTCAATTCTAGGTCACAGTCCATCACTGAGGGAAGTCAGAAACCATGGAGGATACTGCTTGTTACTCGCTCACAGGTCAGCTAACTTTCTTATACAGCCCAGGACCACGTGCTTAAGTATAATGTCATCCACAGTAGGCTGAGCCCTACTATATCAATTAACAATCAAGACAATCCTCTGCAGAAATGTGCACAGGTTACTATGATCTGGGATGTCCTTCAATTGAGATTCCCTTCTTAGGTGACTCTAGGTTGTGTCCAGTTGACAATTAAAGCTAACGAGGATACTTTGAATGTTTTCCAAAATCTCATTAAACCACTCAATTGAAAAAAAAAAAAACTAATTTGTTAGGGTGGGAGAAATGGGGAAAATGTTGATCAATGGGTACAAAGTTGCACCTAGGTCTAAGAAATAAGATCTGGTGTTGTCGTGTGCAAACATCTAAGTGTTAGTAGCATTAAAAATGTAGGAAACAGGATATTTTAAAATGAAATGGAGATCTTCTTTAAAGGTTAAAAACTCATTCAATTTTATGTCTTACAGGGTTTATACTGAGTTCAATATTGTATAACTGTATTAATTCAACTGTGAACCTAAAAATTTACAGCCACTTTTGAAAGAGAGGTATCCTTGCTCTGGAAATTATTAATGAATACGTTAAAGCTCTAATGAAATGCTTCTAATCATGTGGTTATTAAATAAAAAAGGTGAATATCTGCAAAGAATTTAGAGTTACTGGAGAGATAATGTAAGGACAATAAAAAAATGCTATTACATATTATCCTGTCTTATAGACCTGTTTATGTACTATAAAAATAAAAGTGAATATTTGAATTAAAAAAAGATCTGGTGTTGTATTGCATAGGAGGGTTGCAATACATAATGTTATGTATTGGTTTATTGTTTGATTTTTTCAATATATGTATTGAATTTTTGTGCATTTCATACAATATGTCTTAATCATATTGAAACTCCTTCCCTCATCTGTACCTCCCACAGTGTATTTCATTCATTCTATCATATATGTTATGCTGAGTCAAGTTTGGGTCCCCAGATGTCCCTCGGTGTGAGTTCATCCACTGGAGTCTGGTCAGCTTATCTAGCGTCACTCCCTTAAAGAAGATCAACTCTCCCTCCCCCAGTAGTGATCAGCTACCACTGGTTCCTCAGTTAATGTTGAGGCCTCCTGCCCATTTCCCCAGTTCTGTGCTGGATTTGTCTGGTTGGAGTTTGTATGAGTCTTGTGCATTCTGTCACCATAGCTGTAAGTCCATACGAACAAGTTCCCAGAAACCTGGAAAACTCTTTCGTTGTGGTCATCCACTACCCCTGGCTCTTACAATCTTTCTGCTTCCTCTTTCAAAATGGTTCCTGAGCCCTGGGTGGGTGAGGTAAAATATAGGAATCCTATCCAGGGACAAGCACTCTACAGTCTCTTATTCTTTACACTTTGACCAGTTGTGACCATGTGTGTTAAATGGCTTTTATTGCATCAGGAAGCTTTGCTGGTGAGAGCTGAAAATTGCATCAGTATTCTCTCCGCCTCTTGTTCCACTGGTCTTAGGTGTAGAGGTTACACTGTAGATATGTCACTTAGGGCAGGGTATCTCAGACACATAGTCTCTGTGTGCGACCAGTTGTGGAACTCTGTAATAATCTCCATCTGTTGCAAAAAGAAGGTTTTGTTTTTTTTTTTTCGAATGAGTGTTTGCAGGTATACTTGTCTGTAAATATAAGGATCCATATTTAGTATTGTTTTAAAAGCTGGAAGGAAAGATTTTGAATCATTTTACCACAAAGAAGTGGAAAGTGTTTGAGGATGTGGGAAATGCTTACCTAATGTATAATTGTATCAAAATATCACAATTTTCTTTGTTAATAAAAACATAAAAAAGTGAAAGTATAAGCATAAAAATTTTCATATTATAAAACACTAAATACACTTCAAAATAATGGCAATACAGAGAATTTGACTTTATTGCACTCATATAACATTAACAGAAGGCATATCACTTGGGTTTTATTTTTATTAGATTACATTATATTATTTATTTGTTATTTATTCATTTGTGGTGGGGGACACATATGCCACATGAGCATATGGAGATCAAAGGACAACTTCAGGGAGCTGGTTCTTTCCATGTGGGTCCTGTATAGTCAACACAGGTCATTAGGTGTCATAGCAAGCACCTTTACCCACTTTTGCAACTTCCTGAGTCATCTTGTTGGCCTGA